AATCGAATCGCCATGATGGATGTGATTTACACCCCTACTCCTGACACAGCGAGCCAACGGCAATTTAGTGCAGTAACGGCTGGTCAGCGGAGGCGCTCACTGTCGCTCTTGTCTGTGTTAACAGTGTACAGAGAATAAAAGGACCTGCGAAAAACACACTGCTTAATCATAAAGTGTGCAACATAATTCTTGAACCAAAACTCACCAATAAGCCAGTGCATAAAGGCATAAAAGCCCTCCTCCTCTGATCCATCACTGGACACATCATGCTGAAAGAAACCAGTACAGGTTCTGCATTATTACAGACGCAGAACCGTAGTTAGGCTGCGATAAGGCAGCTTTCTGCAGGGTACTCACCACTTGCTTGGCTGACATGATGGTGCAGATGAAGATACCAGTGGAAACTAAAACAATAGAGAGATATTTGCTGGCTGAATACCTGCAGGTGGAGAAGATGAGTCACTAAATCAGGATAAAGTTGTCAAATAATAAAAATGAATGTGAGACTGGCTGTAGGGGAAAATTCACCTCTTTTTTAGGATGATTATTCCCAGGATCATGTTGGCTATAAGTGATCCCTGTGTGGAAGAAATGAAGAGAGCTTCAGCTAAAGCTTCCAGAGACCAAGCTGCTTAATGGTAACCAACGGTAACCAGTGATACTCACTGATCTGAAGATCATGTGTAATGGCATGGCGATGTTAAAGTTCAGAGCGTAGTTGTTGATCACACTGACAGTGAAGAACATGGTCACCATGATGACATAATTACTGAAACAAAGAATAAATCATCTTATTAAACATCTGCATTTAGCCTTGCCTTCTGCAGCTTTTTTAATTGAATTATTTGTTTTACCTGACAGGAATCGCTGGTTTCTTTCTTCCACACTTTGCTTCAAATATAAAACCTTCTAAGGCTATAAAGACAAACTGAGCAAAGGTGACTATGTTGCCGCATCCTGGGAACTCTCTGAAAAACAGAAAGGCTGGTTTAGAAGCAGGAAAGAAATCATTAATTACTTAAAAACATTTAATCACATTACAACCAGAAAACACAAAAGTGTTTTAATAGGATTTCTTTGAGACGAAGAAGAGGAGGAAAATATGCTTTATTTTATCTTTTGTTTTCCATAAAGACATCTTAAATATCTGCTTTATAACATCGAATTAAACCTTTATCTCTGACTTCCCTAAATAATATTTTGATTGGCTTCAAGACAAACCCAGTGAAAAGTATTTGTCAGTTTAAATTTCCATTTGAAGGCAGATTTTCTGTGAAGGCCTTAGAAATACGTTACAGAGCAAACTGCATCATGGAAATAAATATTCCATCCGATTTGGAACAGGTTGTCACATTTGTGCTGTCCACAAATCAGGCTTTTATTAAATACAGCTGTGGAATACAGTTATTAATACAAGGCAATCAAAGGGAAACCCCAAAAATGATGAGATGACTGTATGGAGGGAAATAAATCTGAGATGGCAGCATCATGCTGTGGGAAAACTTTTCTTTCAACAGGGTCAGGACACCTAGCCAAGCTGATGGGGTTCATACAGTCTATCTCTGGAGGCACATTTAACAATATTCAAATTTAAAGTCCAGATTTGACTGATGTTCACAGACGCTTTCAATCAAACAGAACTTGTACTATTTTTTGCAAAAAGGGAATGGGCAAATATTTCAGTCTCATGGTGCATGGCCCTATGCATTTTTTAATAATTAAAGTCGTAGGGAAGCGGCTGTTCCAACTGTTGCATTTGCAAATTCTTCCGAGTGGTGCCCGACTTTACACGAGCAAAAAAGTGAATTTGATTGGTCGTTTATCAAGGGGGCGGGATTGTTGTGGCGGAAGGTTCGCAATCAAGTTTGGTTGT